CCAAGGCGTGGCAGGGTTTGCAGATGGGAGGGCCTGCTGGCGGCTGGGACGTACGTGGGCAAAGCTCAGCGCTGGCTTTTTGCGCGGCCCCCTCCTTCCCGTATGTTTCCCCTTCTCCGCCAGCAGCTACCGAGCTGCAAGGATTTGATCAGCCCCGTGCAGAGAGCGGCGCTTGGCGCTCTCGGGCACAGACCGAGGCCAAGGCCGGCACGGATGCTGATCTCCTGTCTCTAAGGAGGCTGTCAGAGCTTGCCTCATCCCTCCATGAATCATTCGGGAGAGATGGAGAGATTCTGATGGCCTCACCGTCACCCCAGCGCAGCAGTGGATCAGTTCCCCAAGTACCTCATTTGCACAGATAGAGATCTGGGATGTCTGCAGACTGCACCAAATCCGCACCCGAGGCTGGGTGTCGTGCTGGGTGGCTTTTCTGTCCAGCCTTCTGGGCTTCAGCGTAAGAAAAGAGCGGAAGGAGCAAAAGGAGTCCCAGCGCAGCACCTGGGGAGGTGGGAGATGAGGAAGAAAAAAAGCTTGAAGGGGAAAACCTGGGGTAGGGAGAGGGGGAAGAAGTGTAAAAAATGGGCAGCTGCAAATAGAGGTTGCAAAAAAATAAGCTGTAGAGGCTGGGTGTTCCTCTGAAGCTGGGATGCACGTAGAAGTGGCGCACTCAGTGTACACTGTCCTTAGCACACTCTCATCTGCCTCCACGAGCACTGTGCATGCATCGCCTGACACATTCCAGGAGCAGGGTACCGAGGGACTGAAAACGGCCCCATCACTCAGACCCGCAGCACGGTTCAGAAGGTGATTGTTGACATCTTTGCACATGTCCCCTGTTGCCACCGCGCCGTAGAGCCCCACCACTCCTGCGAAGTGGACTTCAGGCCCCCCGTGCCACGGTTCAGACTAGCTCGTGCCATCGGTGTGACAGTCAGTTCATCCTTCAAGCCCTCCGCCGTGAAGCACATGCTGCTGAAAGTAGAGGAACGCTGTGCTGGCATTTGCTGTCCTTCACCTTTCCCCTCTCCCCTGGGCCAGGGGGTTCATCTCTGACCAGGACAGAGCAGGGAAGGTGGGGACAGAAGGAAGAGCTCTGAGGAGGATGAAGGTGGGAGGAAGGCAGTGTGCTGCCTGCTTCGGGTCCAGCCTTGCAGGCCGCTCTCCCATCTGCGCTACCAGGAGACGGAGAAGTTGGGATCTGGGTGAGAGTGCAGGGAGAGCAGAGAGGGGTGGTAAACTGAGGGCGGCAAGCCCAGTAACAAATACAATGTGATAAGCTGGATAGCAGCACCGGGACTGGAAGAAAATTATGCTAAGAATTTGCATTATTTTGCCAACAAAATTCATGCAAATAGATCTTCACACTTGCCCAGTTTGTTCACAAACCCCGTGCTCATGAGCAATCCAGCCAGGCCCCGCTCCCAAAGACCCACCATCGAGACTAAGTGCCTTGGTTGCTCCAGGCGGTCTCATGATGATAGGGTGTGCACCAAAACGCTGCATCACAGCTACTGTAGGAAGCTTAACTCCATTTTACAACAGGTTTTGCTGGAATCTGACATGACATGTTGATGGATCAAAAACTCAGCTGTCAATATCTGAAGCTTCATGTTAGTGCTCCACATAAATAGAAGCCAAGGCTCGGATAGGAAGTGCGTCTGAACCTAACCTGTATCCTAAAGGCTGATACCCTTGAAAACTCAGCAGCAAAACTCCCAATAATTTATGTAAAGATGTACCATAGCAGGCTGTACACACTCCAGTTGTGGCAGCTGCCTGGACTGGGGTGCATTCTTGTTTATGGCTCTCGTGGTCAGTGGTTCCACCCATGCTTGGTGCAGTTAGTCGTTCCTTTTGGGGGCTACAACAAAACATAGGCTGTTCACAAAAGTGGGACAAACAGGGTTAGGAACCCAGAAAAAAACCCTCTCAACATTTTTTTGTAGAGTCACAAAGGCAAGCGTACAGGCACCATGAAGGGACAATTAGCAGCAGCAGCAGTGACAGCACCCAGCCCTTTCTTGCCAACAACATCAGACCTTTGACTCCTGAGCTACAGGAAAACTCTTAGTCACAGGTAAACAGAAAGTTAATAAAAGTCCCTCAAATCAAACTCCAGTGAGAGGGAAGGCAATGGGGAAAAAAAAAAGCAACTAGAGTAACAGTTTTATGACTGAAGTCCTAATCATAACTACACTGAAAGGTCTATTTATAATTCAGATATATGGTGCAATTGCCTTCACAATCCAAACTGAAACAGGAACCCCAACAAATCTTCATCTGTTTCAAAATTCAGGTGAGAGTCCCATCAAAAACATACAGTGGAACAATACTACATACGTCGGCCTGACAGGGACCTGTTTGCAGTGTAGATATTTCTTTTGCTGTATGTGTTTGACAGCATCTTATGCAAAAGTGTCTTTCATACCTGAAAAAAAATACACAAAAAGAATATGTGGTTAGTGATTTTGCTGTCCTGATTTAGGAGTTTGAGAACTAAGATGCTTTTATACGTACATAATACACACTTACATACATATCTGCATTTTTAAACAAGAGCCGCCTCAAAAAACCAATCTCTCTGTGCATTGAACACAATTTTCTTTTTTAGTTTCTGCTTGCCTGGCAATGTTGATAATGCTGCCAGTAATACCCAGTGATGTTGGCTTGTGCAGTAACTCCCGTGTCGCTGGGCCACCCTGCTATATCACACCCCAAAGTGCTTCAGGAAGCCTCATCCCCCTTGGCACGGAGGAGTGGGTGGTTAAGGCGAGTGCCCTTTACTCATACCCTCATGCTAATACAGTCCGCGGTCAAACTTCAGTACAACAAAAGATGGATCTTGGGCATTGCTGGCACCACTCTGGGCTGCAGCGCTCAGGACCATGTAGTGACATCTGTGGCATGACGGCTGGGTGTGGTGTAGCCATGAATCATAGAATCATAAAGGTTGGAAAAGACCTCTAAGACCATCAAGTCCAATTATCACCCCAATACCGCCATGCCTGCTAAACCATGTCCTCAAGTGCCACATCTACACATTTTCTGAACACCTCCAG